TGACAAGAAGCTGCATTATTCCCTGCTGATGTCCTCAATAGTGATTGCTTATTGCCTGTGGCTTGATGTGGGCAGTGTTTGTGCCTCCAGCGATGGTCAGGCTTCAGAAAGTTCAGTGGTTGAATCTGGGGAAGTCTTCCAATTTCTAGCATCCTTATTTGAACTCTTTCAAACCACTTCAGTCAGAAAACTCAAATTGGAAATTTTGTGCAAAAAGCATTTCTAGTGCATGTCTTATTTCAGCTTTCTGGTTGACTTCCAACCAGAAGATGCAGTGAGAATAAAAAATAAAAGACAGAAAGGAAAACTTTTGGAAGAAGACTGATTTCCTTCTAGGGTTAGTTCAAAAGCTTCAGAAGAGGTTGACTTGATCCTTTTTAATTTTTATATATAAATGATATAACAAAGGCCGATTTGAGCAAAATCATGTCCTAATAGAGTTTATGTGACAGCCGCTGAGTTGGCCAACACTGGGAACCAAAACAAGAACTTTCAGAATAGAAAGGATGAGCTGTTCTTGTACTGAAACTAAGCGTATCGCTGATTCCCGATCTAGGAGTCAAACACGGCATTTGTACTTGCTAGCAAGTCCTGCCTGTGTTCTCTACCTTTGTGCCAGTGTTATATATCTATTCTAAGTGCTCAAATAAATCCTGGCACTCTCAGGATGGCTGTGAAGTACATGGGACAGAATTATGGTCTTCCTCTGGTGTCCAGTAAGAGTTGAGCTAAAACCATCTTCTTTTTGGAACTGTAGAGTCTATTAGGTTTGAGTTCATCCCAGCGTTTGATGGGTGGCTAGGATTCTCAATGGGGATAATTCATTCTGTTTCTATAGGGAGCCCTCATAGCTTATCTGTGGCAAAAATAGACTCACAGTTACAGAGTACAATGGTCATTTTCACTTCCCTTTAGAGGATACCTTGCATCTTTTTTTCCCAAGGGGCAATCACTGGAGCAGAGCAGGGAAGTTGGAGATTTTCTTATTCCTTTCACTCCTTTAGGGGCCCTGGGGTTAATTTAGCAGAGCATTCTTATCTCCAAACCATAGCAGTGTATGTTCTTGGCATAATGAATCAGCTGAGTGGCATCAACAAAAAGATTTAAATAGATAGACAGAAAGATAAGTATCTCTTTGTTCTGCCTGGTAAGCTGTGCCTTCCTCATCATATTTCTGGTTGACTGTAATTCAGTTTTGTGATTAAATATGCCACGTGTTTTCCAGTGGTCCCTGTGTTTCCTTGCAAATGCTTCAAAGGAGACTGGAATGTGAGGAGGGGCTTCAGACACATCCTCAGAAACAGTGAAAGCCATAAGACTTTCATCTATTAGCCTCAAACTCCAGCTTTAGAGTTTGTTCCTGTTCCTCAACACAAAATCAGAATTCTCTCAAAACTGGGTATTTCTTTGTAGTGTGAGCCCCTTGCTAGTTTAGATGCATCCATAACTATTTGATACTCCCACAGATTGGCTGTTCATCCATGTCAAATGTCTCTGGCTAACCAGACAGATTATTCAGGCCAGAAACTCTATACTGCAGTGCTTAAACTTTTTCTGGTTAGCAGCACTGCTCTGGAAAAAAAATGGAACGGCTTCTTCCAGAACTGTGGGAAACGTAAAGAAGACATTGAGTATTTTCACATCATCGTCCAAGCCTCAGCAGGCAGAATTCAAACTCTTTCAAAGAAAGCAGTATTTCAGTAACCGGTTTGGCGAAGTAGGAGAGGACAGTGATCCTCTGTCAGAGATGGCAGAATAAGATTAGGAAGCCAGACCAAATATTAGTCAAAAGGTGAAACACCATGCCTGGACCCCAGATGCTCCTGAAAGCTGCTGAGAAAGAGAATGTCTGGTCCCACTGACCACACTGGCCCTATCCAGGCAGGATAAAAGCAGCTAATGAAATTACAGCAAGAAGGGTCAAAAGGACATTTTATCACTTAACACACAGGTTATGCATACCCGCTCCAGGAGGAGCATGTTCTTGCTGCCTACAAATCTGTGCAGTGCCACTTGTATCTGAATGATTCATTCTCACCATCTGTATTTGTGGCAAAATATAGAAAATATAGACAGATACACTTGCAGGTGCATCCATCCCTAGATGGAGAGACCGACAGATCCGGAGAGGCGGAAAGTCCTCCTTTTTCTGTTATGCCTTCTGGAGATCTTAGCATACTTCTTCCTTTGCCTGTGTGCTACTTTATTGACTATACAGCTGAAAATATATGGAAGGGGGAAAAAAAAAAGAAAAACACTGACAACACAGGAGAGCAGAAGAGAAGCAATGGAATGAGCCAAGAGAACCAAAATGAATATTTTCTTCCCCCTTCAGTAATTCTTATTACTTCTGATCAAAGTGCTGAGGGAACAATAGTCCTGCCTCTCCCATCTCCTCCTCACAGAACAGATTACCTCAACTGCACTTTTCAGAGTAATTATTTTGATCTTAAAGGTGATAAGTGCTACAGGAAACATGAGGGAAGGAAATAACAAAGCTATTTTGCTCAGCTTGCTCAGTGCTTTTCATCCAGTGACAAGATGGAGGCATGGGATAGTCCTGTGTTCTTATCCCCATGGAGCTGGGATCTAAACGTGGAAGTCTGTCTTGAAAGACAGGAGGAAAACCCCACAAACATATTTTATGATAATTCTCTTTTTGTTAAAATATTAACTCATCCAACCAGCTCTGCCACAGCGCTTTCCAATGTTTCCCTCACCTTATCGTCATTGCCACAGAAAGTGTAGTCTTCAAGCGCTGAATGCTGGGGGTTGCAAATCCCTAGATCTAGTCCAATTTCATCAGCCTCTGAACAATTCAGGGAAGCTCTGAATTCGATCTAATTGTCCCTACCTCACTCCCTGACTCTTCTCTTCTTCTTGTCATGTTTTATATAGTTATTGACTTTTACAGAGCTCCCTGAGTAATTCTTCAAGGAAGATTGACTGATTTAAGGGGTTAGTCATCCTGTAAGTTAGTAAACATGACAGCTGGTTTAGGATTAACAAGAAATCATGAATAAAATCATTGGGATTGATAAGGGGTTCTCAAGCAATTAAAGTTTTCTAGCAGAAAGTCAAATAGAAAAAAGAAACCTAAAGTGAAGGTCAAAGGAAAAGGATGACCTGAATCACTGAACCCCAAAATACAAGATGTACTGGCAGAGCTAGCATGAGGGGACTAACAACAAGAGGCTAAAGTACCAGAGAGGGTTTCAAGCCAAGGTGTAGTTTTCTGGTCAGAGCTGTGTATGAGGTATAGGAATAGAATAGCAATGGGACCAGCAGATCGGTACTGAGGCACATCAACAGGGTGGTATGTGAGGATGCAGAGCAGCATGAAAGTGTGTTTGCATACTACTGGTAACCCGGGGCACTGTTTGTTGCCTGCCTTGTGGTGGCAACGGTAGAGAAAACTACAGAGCAAGATTAGGTAGCAGAGCTACCCACCACTCCCTTCTCAGTGTAAGAGTTCATTGATGTGCAGCAGAGAGCAAACTGAGATGACTTCAGTGGTGACCTTTCCTCTCCCTCCCCATGACTCCATCTGCTTCATCACTGGGATTGAGGTTTGCTGCCTCATAGCTTCTTCCTAGTTGCTCTCTGTATGGCTACCTTTTTTGCTGTTTTTTTCATGCAGCACCTTATATCTTCCATTGTATCCCTCTTAATCTCTAGCTTCTTCTCCTGTCCTGTAAATCCCTGCTAATGGCTTTAACTTTTCAGGTGTGAGAGGCTCTGGCATTCTGTGTAATGAATTGGAATTGAATTGCAGCCTACTAGCCCTGGAGAACCCATACCAAGAGCCGTCTGTTGTGAGATGCAAATGCTGATTGGTAATCAGGGAGTAGAACTCCAGTCTTGCATATGCTACCTGGCCCCATAGGTTGATTAGCATGCTCCTGACACCCTCTAATATGTATCACAGTGAGGAACGTCAGGACCAGTGAGGAAAATATGTTTAGTCAGGGTTGGTTTGAAGGGCGGGAGCCTAGAGTGTAGTATGGCCTCACATTTTCCGTGTGGGGTGGGACAAGGAAAACAGTGGGTGAAGGGATGTGCTTTAGAATTGTCAGATGGCAGAATTTTTTTTTTTTTATTGCAAGTTTCATAAACTTTTCCTTAGAACACCATCTCCCGGATGTGATTAAAGCAACACAGCAGCTTTCCTTTTATAGTTTTATAAAAGTATCTTTTTTTTTTTAAATATCTTTTTAGCTTTTTTTCTCAAGAGTTGAAGCCTGTGAACATCACCTTAATGTGATCTTTAAAATCTCAGAATCAGAATACAAAACGTAAGAAGTTCAAATTGTGGGTGCTTGTGCTGGTGTTCCATTAATTTTTAAATTCTATGGGTTTTATTTAGTCTCATGATTTTAGGGGAAGAGATATGATTTTCCAGACCCTTTTGATTCCTGGCTTTCATTGTACAGGCATGTGTGAGAATTCGTTTAGAAGTCAAGCATAATTTCATTGGCTGAGGCAAGGTTGTACAGCTACTGGTTGTCTGTATTTTTGATCACGGCAAGGTGTTCTCTTCATATTGAAGTACAGTGCTACATGAAGACTGTATGACCTGCTCTCACTTAATTTTATTATTGCTCTTTAGCTTTTCTTACTTCTCAGGAGCTCCTTTAGTTTCAGGAACACCTATGGTGCTATGATCTAGATTAGTTTTTTTAGCACATGGAAAGAGATACAGATGCTATCCCTACTCCACCCACAGTTTGGTTAAAGGAGAACCTTTATGCTCTAAGGTTCTGGAGCAACCGTTTCCATCTAGACAGAAGAGAGACTGCTTCATTTTTTTATTGTACAATTCCTAGCTTAGGTTTAGCCAATAACAATATCCTAAGTGTAAAAAATAAGTTAACTGTGGCCATTAGGCAAGAGTGAGCAGGTGTAAAAGTCTGAGTTTTAAAGTGCTGAATAGACACGCACTTGTCAAAGAGTGTGAGTAGTGGGAAGAGTTTAATTCAGCCTTTTCTCTTTGGTTTCAGAATCTAACAGCCGACGGGCAGTGAACAGAGGCTACTTGTGTGGATTGCTGAGACTCTATCAAGACTGGCATCACAATGATGTATCCAACAACTATATTCATATTCGTAGGGGTCTCCTAATCTGCCTCAAACACATCACGAACATCCAGCTGGGCAGGGAGAATTTTCTTGATTCCCGTGGTATGGAGATTCTTTTCACAAGTGTGCAGGTAGATTTTGCTTCTGTGCTTGAGATGGGTTAGTAGCTGTTCCTGGGTCTGTCCTACCTAGCATTGTGGAGTTAAATAATCTGTTAAACAATCTGTTGTAGAGTTAAATAAAACAGATATTTTATCCTGCAGAGTTCCATCGTTAGTTTTATCCTGAATTTGTATAACATAGCAATTAAACATGATAATGTCAAAATGAAAAGTATTGACTTTTTACAGACAAGTGAAAACATTTCAGTTCAGAAAAGTTAAAATATTTCAGTTTAAAACTAATATTAATCCCTGAAGAGCCTCACAGGAATCATAGTCCTGGCTTTTAATGCTTTTTTTCTCCTCCGATGTGGAAGTTACTCTCTACTTGGACTGCCTTTCCCAAAGTGTACTGCATTGTCTGCAGCAGAGCTGCTGAGGTATCTCCTGAGATGTTTCCTTTCAGGTATCCTTGTGGATAATTCCACCCAGTCAGTCTTTCCTACAGAGCATGTTGATTTAGACAGACCTTTGTGGATGACACAGATCCAACAACTGTCTTTCAGAAGGCCCAGTTTTAATCTTGTGGAAAATTAATGTAGGTCTATTAAGAAAGGTGGCGTGGTCCTGCAGATGGGATCCCTATAAGGTCTAGAGAGTTTAGGCGTAGAACAGTAGTGGTTTCCTCTGAGTGCTCCCAGCAATATGCCTCCTTAGCCTCCTGCAGAGAAATATCTTATGGAGAAATCTTCAATACTTGACCTGTGCAATTCCACAAGAAATGTTCCTTTGACATTCTGGCTAGCCAGTGCATTATCTCTTTTGCACCATCACATATAGGATGAAAAACCTGGCCTCTTCTCTAGAATATTCATTGCCTTATGATCCAGTGTATCTGCTCCTCCATCCCTTCCACTGCTTTTCTGAATTATTCTCCCACGACAGAAAGATACTTGTTAGCAGCAGTAGGTGCTTAATTGGTATAGCTGTTTTTTTTCATCTGCTTCATGAGGAATTGACCACTACTTCAGGTGAAATAAGGATGGCCAAGCAGAGCAGAGCTTCCAGGGGGTATGGTTTCTGTTAATGGCAACTCCCTAGTCTTCAGAAACTTGAATGGGGTGGATGGCAGCAGCAGCTTGAGGGCAGATGTCAGCTCATTCCCTTTCAAGAGCCTTCTACAGCTCATGTTGCTTTCTGAGCTAACATCTCCTGATAGCTCAGCCTGGGAGAAACACCATGAAAAGCGCAAACATAGAGTCACCTTGAGTGAATAAACAGGAAATGACACACTAAGCAGCCAGCGAACAATGAGAACACTAATCCTTCCAAATGTTAGAAGTGGAGCGGAAATGACAGCTGCAGGCACCTCCAATTTACTTTTTCTACAGTATGCCACTGGGGAGCTCTTGGAACTGGGATCAGCAAGGTTAACAGATCCAAAGCTCCACATTCCCTCATTCTGTCTTTGGGACATTGTCAGTCTTACTTTGTCTCTCCAAGACATGAGGTTCTCTCCTATATTCAGGAGGAGTCTGGCAGCCCTATGAAATCTCAGTCACGCTCTT